GAGCTCACCTACATAATGTTGTTGACGTTCTGATCCGCTACTGCGTATAATAACTCACTAGTTTTTATGATTTATATTGTCAGTAACGAAATGATCTCTAAAAAAACAAAAATATTCTACGAGAAAAGTAGGTAATGACAAATGCTATACCATCCTCTACAAGCATGATCTGTCTTTGGTATTTCTTTTTTTGTAAACAGAACGCATTTCATTTACTGGGAGTTTTTATAAAACCTTTCATAGTTTTTCATATTTGCCTCTTAGCGACATGTTTCAATTTAAATCTTCTCATTTAGCAGACAGTGTCAATCTAAGGGGGAGGCGTCCAGTGACCATTGTAATCATTGCTGTGCCTTTACTTAACACAAACCATTTTTATGCTTCTTTAACTTTCTATATATGCATGTGTTATTAACTTACACGTTGTTGGTTATTTGGCAGTATTAACTTAAAGAAACACGGTTAAAAGATAGGATATAACCTTGACATGTAAGGTATATCAATTTGTCAATGAAACATTTTATCTGCCAATCTACTGGCATAGTATATAAATTTAAAGATAAAAACTAACACGTCCACATTGTATAAAGAAATGCTTGTGAGTGAACTGAATTCTACATGATTTTTTTAAAATAACATACGTGTATTAGTTTATATAATGTATTAAAAGCAGTTACACCTTAAATATTATGTTGTTATGAAAAGAGCTGAATTTAAGACTTTTTAAGTAATCTTTTACTTTCTACAAAGTTAGGATGTCAAATAAATTACACTTCTCAGAGTAAATGTTAACCACGCTGTCTCGAAATGGGAACACACATTGCAGGAAAAAGGTAAACGAACGTAAGTCTTTATTATTTACGTGGTACCGTAAATATGAAAATGGATAATGTAGAATTTTTAAAAAGGGCCACAATTCTGTTCGAGTTATGGGCTTTGGACAGTGACCTCCTATTATGAGTGAAGTATTGATCATGCTCTTTAGTAGTTTTGAAGATGCCAAACGGCACGACGCCAACGTCTGGGTGAGTATCATAGCCCTCCCTATTCTTTGAATAGTCGAGCTAAAAACTGCTGCAATACATTTTGAAAGCACTTCAGTTTGCAGAGCTACTTTAATGGAAGCAACACAAATCGACTCCGTTATTATTCAGACTTAATGTCATCTCGGGGGACTAGCAAATGATAGTTGTTTATGTGATTCTCGCGGAATATATTAAACCTTAACGCACTGTCTAGATCTTTTCAATGTCCGTTCAAAATACTGTAGAGCTGGTAATGTTCCCGATTCAAACTGACAAGTGATTTACATAAATTGATTTGAGTGGTTTACATAGATTGATATGAGTGGTTTACATAGATTGATTTGGGTGGTTTACATAGATTGATATGAGTGGTTTACATAGATTGATCCGATTTTGATTTAAGTGGTTTACATAGATTGATTTGAGTGGTTTACATAGATTGATATGAGTGGTTTACATAGATTGATTCGATTTTGATTTAAGTGGTTTACATAGATTGATTTGAGTGGTTTACATAGATTGATATGAGTGGTTTACATAGATTGATTCGAGATTGATTTCAGTGGTTTACATAGTTTGATAGGAGTGGTTTACATAGATTGATTTGTGTGGTTTACATAGATTGATATGAGTGGTTTACATAGATTGATTCGATTTTGATTTAAGTGGTTTACATGAATTGATTTGAGTGGTTTACATAGATTGATATGAGTGGTTTACATATATTGATTTAAGTGGTTTACATAGATTAATTTTTGGTGAAGCAAAGAGATAAACATTTATTATTTTGTCTGGCAGAAATAGTAGATACTCGTATTTTAATACTTTTGCAAGAACCCTTTTTCTCCAACCAGTCAATGGTATTTGTGTATTTGTATAGAAGAAGGTGAGCACCCGAGGGACTTTTTTAATATATGGGATAAGATGCGTTTGAACTTTTCTTCTTTTGGACATATGTAGTGAATAAAATAATAGCGTTACTTTTCATTAATGAGTTAATAAACAGGCTACTACATATATCACATCCTAATTTAGTATATTATGTAAACCAACTTGGTTTTATTACTGAAAAAAAGAAGACAAAATGTATTTTATTAAAAAGATGTTACACCAAATAATGAAATTGTCAGGTATTTGATGTTTTACATAAAACGTATGTTCCTGTTTTGTTTTGAAGGAAAATTCTGTTCTAATCTACATGTGCTGATAAACTTACAAATTGCAACATTGCAGATTTATTCACATATCGGAGTTATAACTTGTGAGGAAACACGCTCAAAGATATAAAAATATATAAATACAAATGTATATATTTAACCCTAAAACGGTACGTATATAATTCATCAATGTTACATTTTATCTCAAAACACGTATATAAGTATAAAAAACAACAAAAAACAACAGCAACACAACAAAAACAAATGTTAATTGTATAAATCATGGTGTTATGTTAGTGACACCACTGATTAACTTCATTCTACAAGGGTATTTACTGTATGTTTACATCATAAAATACAACTGCTGAGATACATTTTATAGTCCAAATCTCTAAATGTAACATATTTAATTTTTTAAAATGCAAAATAAGACCAAAACTATCGTTTGCTGATATCGATTGTGATACATTATACATGTATTATCAGATCTTCCGGTGTCTGTAAAGAAACAGCTTAAATATTGTCAATCAATTCGTCTTTTATAACAGAAAAAAGCCACCAATTCTTATTTGCTTCACTTAGGTTAACATTGTGAAAGCCAACTCTCAGATTCAAGGGCTTTTGGGACTTTAACTGCTCTGTTTTCAAAAACGATGGCCCCAACGGAACACCGTAGTTATCTGTACATATGCTGCGGGATACAACCTAGTAAATAGTTCTGCAGTACATATAATTAATTCTAGCAATGATGGATTCGTTTACATTCCTACATAATGTTATTTCAATAACTTTGGCAAAGGCGTCACAAAAGTTTTTACTCAGATAAAAAGATAATGTTTGATGCATGCACTTAACAGCCGACATTTATATAATAAAGTTAGTCGAAGTAAGAAATTTCGTCTCTTTATTATGTCTCCGAACATGAATGAACACTTTCTGTACATATATTACATTTGAGCCGCGTCACGACAAAACCAACACAGTGCGTTTACGACCAGCATGGATCCAGACCAGCCTGCGCATCCGCGCAGTCTGATCAGGATCCATGCTGTACGCTTACCAACTCTATTACAAGTAGAGAAACTGATAGCGAACAGCATGGATCCTGATCAGACTGCGCGGATGCGCAGGCTGGTCTGGATCCATGCTGGTCGCAAACGCACTATTTTGGTTTTGTCGTGACGCGGCTCATTTAATTTGTTTCACCCAACAGTGGGCATGATTTTCGTTACTACGTATATTAATTACCACATTAGTTTAAGGAGTTATATAACACAAGCTTTATAATACATTCAAGTTGGTCCATGGACATGGCAGATATGCCAACACTTAATTAGTTATTTGAAATGCATTCCTTACATATATATATGTATATATTTGCAACAGAATGTATTTTATAATATTTACAGAGGATGTCGCTACTATAAAATATAGTCTTACTTATTGTATGACTCGTTATTTGAGATATTGTGCTTTTTTGTTTCTGGGTTATATCTAACCTCTACAAAAACGAGATTCACACCCAGAACAACTAGCTTTATCTCAGAACCTAGTTTTGATATGTCAATATATTTTGTCTCTAGTGATTAATGTATCTACATGCATATGGTATCTTTCCATTAGTCTGCATCATAATTTTTGAGCGGACAGTACTTATTGGCAGAGAAATGTTAAAACTGAGACTATTGAAAAAGGATATTAATGAAGACTTTGTTTCCAAGTTTACAGCTTTGAAGTAAAGAATCGATCAACTCAGTGGCAATGATTCTAAGTAAATTGTAATACTGGCTCAATGTCATGTCGCCTGACTAATGATAGTTAGTTTATATGATCCTCACGACACAGATATTCCAATGAAAGTTACACGATCATTTCATTTTCGTCTGTGGTGTACATATAGTTTTACCTTTCATTATTCCAGAACATTGATGTAAATGTAATAGAAGTTGAGAAACTGCAGGCATTTTAACAGGTAAGATAAGGTGTTTTCTTCACACACTGTTTTTGGACCATATGTTTTATGTTATCATTTATATAATATGTTGTAGATGAAAATAATTAATAGGAGGTAAAATATATAGCGTCAAATTCCAGTTTAATTACTATGCCAAATTTGTCAATTCTGGTAAAAGCTTAGACTGCAAGACCGACCGATTTTACATTTACGAAGAGCGACGATTGTCTTTATTATAAAAAGCCACTTTGTTCGGCTAAAATGTAAAATTCGGTTATGCAATTGATAGTCGACATTAATTAGATAATAAACCTTTTCTTCTCTCTATTAACTTTCTCCCTATTCAACTTGTCAACAAATCGATCTGCTACCCCAAAAAGTTGGCTTTCAGATCCGCCACTGCATATATAACCGCACTAGTTAAATGATTAATAATGTCAGCTTACATGCAAGTTGATCCAGGGACATGGCAGAAATGCCAACACTAAACTAGTTATTGACAAATTAACATATTTTTTGTCACTGAACTATATTTTTTTGTGTTATGTACCAAACAAATGGTGAAAGAGGCTTTAATCTAGGACACTGAAATGTCAATATACGCTGTAGGTAAACATAACCGAGTTTTAAACTGTTTAACTCGCCTTTTAGCACTCACTGTTTTATCAATCATATCAAGTAGCAAATTTAACTGCATTTCATATTGAAGTTCGTTTTAAATACAACAACATCTGTTTTCATATTTATAAATTTACGAACACTTGCAGTTCTGGATCTAAATGAAGATGGAAATCTATTAAGCTTAACCAGGGAAGGTCAAGGTCGCTTTAGAACTTTACATGTATATATATACAAGTAACTTACCAGTCGCCGTTTTCCGAGTAGTCTTCTCTCACCGTGCCCCACTGTCGCTCCGACAGGTAGGGACCCCAACGTTTCCAATTTAACGCCCTTTCCTTATCTTCCTTCAAACGTTTTCTTTCTAAACCGGCCATTATTTAAAAATCTTTTACTTTCACTTCTTGTAACCAAGTTTATCCAAGAATTGATATTTTTATATGTATTCCACAAACTTGAGTTTAAGCCACTACAATTGATTTAAACAGCACCACTTATGTCGGTACATTGTTACTTTGCAGAAACCTATATAACATTATATAACTGTAAAACAGTAACCTATATTATAGTAAAACACAATCACTAGTATATCGTACAATATAGCCTGTAAGTTAAAGCATACATTTCCACTACATATACATTATAATCAACCGTATTCCGGTTTACAAGGAATTTAACCGAATAAAGTACTGCACGCGAACATTGTCTAATACTATTTGTATCCGGAAAAAATATTATTATGCGGATCTTAATTCGCAATTCTCATTTTTATACTTCGACGAACGCAAATGTAAACACACATTAATCCGGAGAGCGCGTGACTCAACTAATTCGGTCACAGATGGTAATGAAATTTCCGTGCGGTATATAACAGCAGTTCGTGTGCGTGTTTTACCGATAAAAGAAACTCGACCTAACGTGTTTTTATTTTTGTATTTATCAATGAGCCTTTTATCTAAGTTTATCATTGGACTTGTAACACTACACTCATGAAAACAATGTATTTTAACACTGTAATTTACAACCGTATCTTATCTAAAGGAATATATTAAAAGGACTAATATGTCAAGTTGGCATTTTCGTCGCCGCTTTTTATCTGAAAATTTACCTTAGATGAACCTTGCAAGGTCAATGTTTTAACGGTCAGCAAAATAAAATTATATCAACATAAGTTTAAACGGAAAACTTTTAACTGAGACTGTAAAAGTGGGAAAAACCGCACTTTTTTAATAAACAAAATACTAGTTCATTGTATATGACATGTATTTAACGTATACGTGACGTGACTGACGTTGTAAACGTTTCGACGTTCGTTTACTGGTAGGACAGTATTCCTTCAAGATAATCTTTATCGGTTTGTCTTCTTTTATCAAGTTGAAGGTGAGACAGATTCAGGTTATCTACCGCCATGTTGTTTCAATTTTATTAAAGCAGCATGCCTCCAGATTAATACTTATTTTCATCAAAATTTTGTAAATTAAATGATCTAAAGTAAAACATTGTGAAGTTAACAAAATAAAGTAATTTACACATTTCAAGGGGGCACTTACAATCCACATAAATTACCAAAGAAAAGAGGTCAAAATATGCAAAAAATAGCGCTTATTGCTTTAGTCTCTCAGTAGAAATGTGTTGATAAATACGGCAAATTATGTTATTATTCGCATATAAAATGTACATTATTTAAAGAATATCGAATCTTTTTACTTTTCTCAAAATTTAAGTATATTTATATTCAAGTTTGATATTCTTGAAATATTTTTTGCTGATCTGGAGGCATGCAACTTTAAATCGCATAATACGTATAAATCAATAGGAATAATATGATAATTATAATGTATTACAACGAGGCAGTTAATACAGAGTTGTTTGAATCCCACGACTTTGAAATATTTTATTTGTAAATGTGATAAAATATCAAGCCGACACAACTTAAGCAAGGTTGGTTATTACTCAACTAAAATGCAAGTTGTTCGGAGGACTGTTTCCCCCTATATTGTGAATGCCTTTCTCATTTGTCGAGACAAGTGCGATTTTTCTTGTAGTTGTGAAGTTTAAGCGTTGTTTACCTTACAATTGTGAAGTTTAATCTAATTTGTGAAAAAACAATTTACAACGTTAATGATTTATCTTTATTTGTTAAAAATAAAAAATTTACGCGAAATATTACAACATAAAATGTTAAAATAACCCTGATTTCATCAACTTGGAATATTTTAGGGTAAGTATACACATCTACTTTGAAATGACATGTTGTTTAAAACAATTTTGTGGCAGCAATCAAAGATATGTACGACTGTGAAATTGGCATCTTAACAGATGTGAAGTTGGTATTTTGGAATTTGAAGGGGGCTTCCTGAAATGGGAATGGTCCATTATAGGGCCCTGTAACACAAATATGGTGAAAAGGCCCTGGTCCGTGCATGAAATTATCCACGAACGGTACCAGGAAACTTTGTTTGTCAACTGGGTGTAAAGCGTATAATTTTGATAACACCTCTGCCATTCAGACCTATTAGGACGTTATTCACTTCGTGTTATCACAATTTTTGGACACTTGCTTCCCGACAAATTTCAGAAGCAGTATTGGCATTAACCAATAGGAAAAACATTCTGAACAACCCGCCAATTATTCATAATCATATATACATATCCGAAAGGGCCATACATTTGCGTTGTTAGAGCATAAGAATAGTTTTATCATTTTTTGTTGTGTGCTAATCGTTGGTTTTAGTTAATTTATTTCAAATCAAATGTTGGATGGGGTTTGTTGTTGTTTTGCTTTTTTGTCAGAAAATGATTTTATTTTTCTTGCAATAGGAATGCGCAAAATCATTAAAGAAAATGTGTGAATTAATAACAACAAATATGTTCCATATAGTATCATAGCAAATATAATCTCTCTGTTTACAAAATTTTATTACATTTTCCTGATAATTGATAGTTCTAACAAAAATAGTAGCAATACTAAAACAAGTATATAAATATCAACACAATGAATGATTTTAAGACAACATGCACGTGGTGTCACAACTGATAGATAAACTTAAAATTTGAGTCTTTCATTTCTTCAGATACCATTCTATCTACCTCCTCACTCTGGGCTACTGTAAACCAATCCTTCCAGTTCCCTACTTGCCCTGAATCATATACATGTACAAGGAATATTAGTAACTCAACATACTATTCATATGTTTGCAATGTTATTATTCTTGCTTTTTCCTCAGACTTTCTTTTTTACATAAAAAGAAAAAGAAGTTTCGAGTTGGAACTTTCTGGTATCGTATGATTTCAGATTCGTAACTTTGGAAATAAATAGTATATAATGACTTTCCCTATTAAAACCTTCCCATGTTTTGCCAAAGTTGATACAATTGATTTGTTACTTTGAAAAAAGAAAAGAAAGATTATAATTTCACCCCTGGCACTGAAACAAATCGGTAAAATTACTATAAAAATACTATTTACTGGTAGCCAATTGTTAACAGAACAGAACAGAAACTTTATTACTTAAACGGTCTTGGTTTATAAACATATGGTTTGTGAAAAGTAAGAATGTTTAATTAGTCAGAAAATTTCTTAAAAAGAATTCGAATATATATAAATAACTCTCAAGCTTTTACCTAATATTATCAAATTCAACTACATTTGTATAATATTTTTTGCACTATAATTTAAACTTACCTTTCCTCATAAATCCATATTTAACTTCCGGTTTATACAGACTTGGTCCCAGCATGCTTTTGGAATATCGCTCCTTCATATGCTGGAACTGACATTTATCTGAAATTTCCTGTAACAGTTCGTCACTATGGTGAACTCCTAGAAATTCTGCAAGTTTTCTTACCCCTGTTAACGTATCCTGTACAATAAATGACTTTCTGTTTTATTTTATAATATCTTATTATAATTTAATTTTATTAAATTAAGTAAATGCACAATAAATGTATGTATATGACAAATAGATGTAAATAATCTACAGGTAAAAGTAAATTAATTATATATGCAGATGAAATATAAATGTATATGTATATAAACCAGGGTGCCGTTTTATCAACCAAGACGGTCGTAACTGCGATCTTATCTTAAGTCAGTCCCAGAATAAACTTAGCTTGAATAAATGATATTCAAATGTCAAAGAAATATTGCGGGGACATACTCATGCTATAATTAAAAACAAAACAAAAAGGCATTCTATCGAAGTACTAGTGCGTTCAAGAGAACACAAATTGATTCTGATTTTACATTACAAATCACATTTCCTTTTGTACAAAATTGAACTACACATGTGTTCACTGTCACGTTAATCAGTGTCTTTAATATAAATTATATTTGAAAGACCCTGCTTTAATTAAACATGTGCTCAGATATGACAATGTCAATAATATCAAAAAGTAATTACAATCAGCAATACTCTAATGAAATGAGCAAAAGTATCAATTTACAAACAATAAACATGCATATCAACAGATTCATTATACTTGTATATACATGGTTGTTTTACTCTTGTGAAACATGTTTATCATATATGATATTACTTGTGATTCTTTACTAGCAATGGCTCATGACTGGAAAACAAAGAATACATGTATTCTATTCTATCAAGAGTATATCGAAAATCTTGAAATAGACCTAATATACATTGTATCTAAAACTTCTGTAGTTAACCTATAAAAAGGATTCAACAATTAACTACTAATTTAGAAGGGCAAAATTGTCGCAAAATACGCCCGTCACAAAGATTTTGATAGATATGTGGGCACGATAGATATGCATATAGGAGATATGCTTTCGGAAACATCCGAAAAATATCTGGATATTTTATCATCTCTAGTGACCTTGACCTTGCAAATATTAACTTAAATTACATGTTTCACACCAGTAGTTAGGATAATGACCATTCGAGTTTCAATCCCTCAATAAATAATGACTAAATGGTCCGAATACACATTTTGATATTTTTATCAGAACTTTGACCCCTATGTGTGACTTTGACCTTGGCCACAGGGAACTAAATTTTGCACGCGACACTCCGCCTTACATGGTGAACATTTGTGCCAAGTGATTTTGAAATCCCTATATGCATGTAGAAGTTTTGCTCCGGACAAGCGTTTTTCAATGACCTGTAAGTATGAGCTTGACCTTTGACTAGAAGACCTAGTTAAAGCGCATGACACTGCTTCTTATAGTGCTTATTAATAACATTTGCATGAAATTTCAATAGAATACCTCCTTATGTGTAGGAGATATGCTCTGGGCAAATTATCTATATTTTATCATCTTTAGTGACCTTGACTATCAGCTTAAGTGACCTTGACATTGCAAATATTAACCTAAATTACATGTTCCACACCAGTAGTCATGATAATGACCATTTGTGTTTCAATCCCTCCATAAATGATGACTAAATGGTCTGAATACACATTTTCATATTTTTATCTGAACCCCGATGTGTGACCTTGACCTTGGCCGAAGGGACCTTAATTTTACACTCTACACGCCGCCTCACAATATCGAACATTCGTGTCGTGTTATATTGAAATCCCTCCATGAGTGTAGACGTTTTGCTGCGGACACGCGCCGCCAGGGGAAACTATAATACGACCCGTGTTTCAAACGGGCGTATAAAAATTGCATCCTGGTACAATAAATATTATGGACGCCGAAATATATTATAAACCAACTAAAGGTAAGTGTTTCAGTACCTTTTTTAATTCCTCGAAATACAGCACCAACATGTTGTGTTTATTAGCTTTCAGTACATCTTCCCAGTCTTTCAAATATCTCAAATATCGGTCATAGGCAACTAAAATACACACAAGGCAAATAAAATACACAAGATAGCGGTTAAAGGCAACTAAAATACATAAGATACTTCAATACATACGATAGGCGGTCAAAGGCAACACAAATACACAAGATATCGGTCTTGGGAAAATAAAATACACAAGATAGATCACAGGGGGCCCACACAGTGTTTGGATGGTATATACTGCTTGATAGTGACCTAAAAATGAGATTTTAGTCATAACCTTATAATATGTATATAAATATAGACAAGGGGCATTACTCGCTAAATAGAGAATTTTCGATCACCCTCAAATTCATGCGAGATTTTCCACTAATTAAATAAAAAAATTCCAAAAACTATACTGCGTTGCATAGCTTATATAATCCACAATTGATAAACACTAAATCTATTCTGATTCCCTTAGCCCATTTTAAGAAATTTATTCAAAACCGTTCACTTCTGTCACAAAATTGCTTAGTCGTACGAGATGTCGCAACACCAAATTCCACGGGTAAAATATCAATTTTAAAAGAGGGAGGTACAAATAAACGCATGCAAACAATAACACAACATAGTTTCTATTACCTACCTGCGCAAATAGTCGTGAAGCGCTCTATATTTGTCTGTTTCGAACGAAATCTTCAAATCAGAGCAGAAATCGGCTTCGACGTAGACATCTTGGGGAAACCCCGGTCACGTGACCAGCCGGTGTATCGAGACCTTTCATTGGTTCGGTAGGAACTTTGTTTATAACGACAACAAATGAAAGGTTTCCATACACCATGACCAGAATTTCCAACATGTATTCGCCGAAGCAGATTTCTGCACTGATTTGAAGATTTCGTTCGAAACAGACGAATATAGAGCGCTTCACGACTATTTGCGCAGGTAGGTAATAGAAACTATGTTGTGTTATTGTTTGCATGCGTTTATTTGTACCTCCCTCTTTTAAAATTGATATTTTACCCGTGGAATTTGGTGTTGCGACATCTCGTACGACTAAGCAATTTTGTGACAAAAGTGAACGGTTTTGAATAAATTTCTTAAAATGGGCTAAGGGAATCAGAATAGATTTAGTGTTTATCAATTGTGGATTATATAAGCTATGCAACGCAGTATAGTTTTTGATTTTTTTATATTTATTTAGTGAAAAATCTCGCATGAATTTGAGGGTGATCGAAAATTCTCTATTTAGCGAGTAATGCCCCTTGTCTATATTTATATACATATTATAAGGTTATGACTAAAATCTCATTTTTAGGTCACTATCAAGCAGTATATACCATCCAAACACTGTGTGGGCCCCCTGTGAGATAGATGGTCTTGGGCAAATAAAATACACAAGATAGCGGTTATAGGCAACTAAAATAATAAGTTTTGATAATAAGCAACTTTTATTCATACGATAGGCGGTCAAAGGCAACTAAAATGCACAAGATATCGGTCATAGGCAGCTAATATACACAAGATAGGCGGTCTCGGGCAAATAAAAAATACACAAGACATCGCCTCCGGTCCCAGGCAACAAAAATACACAAAATATCGGCCATAGACAACTTAAATTCGTAAGATAGGCTGTGCTAGGGAAATAAAATACATGTATACAAGTTGTCGGTGACAGGGAGCTAAAATAGACGAGATATCGGTTAAAGACAACTTAAATTCACATGTAAAAGTTTTCTGGGGCTTGCTTTTGAAAAGCGTACTTTTGTCTTCTATTGATACATGTGACAATCGTGCTATAAAATTTGATACGCTCTACCAAGATGCACTTAGATGCAACGATTTTCTTCTAAATAAATTCCTTAACTTGGACTTTACGTTTATATCACTATTAAAAAGATATAAGGACCAAATTTGTGTTTCTTTTTTATTATTAATAGAATTTTGTTATACCGATATGATATATTAGGTATTTACATCTGTACCATACACGTACCGTCACAATACCGTGTTTACTAAATTTTTTCGCATTCAAAATGTTATGGGATACCACGAAATGTTAGATTAAAAAAGAATTGAATAAATAAACTTACGATCACCGCGGAGAAACAGGGGTAGCCAGTTACTGAATGTGCCGCTGTAGTTGTAGTGTTTGAACGCGTACAGCATGCTGTACAGTGACACCGCCACGTCCTTTGGATTTCGAACCACAAACACAATTTTCACAGTTTTGTTGTTTATGTCCGCCGGTATTCTGAAAAATTTAGTTAACAACAACAACTTACAACAACAAACATCACCAACAACAAAACCACTACAACACCCATCCACTCCGCGCCCCCCCCCCCCCAACAAAAAAGAAACAACAACAAAAAACAAACAAATTTTAAATGCAAAACACATGAACTTATAGACCGCTGAATTAAGAAAAAAATGGACAATGAAGATCAAACTTAAAAAAAAACCAGAATATTTCAAGACGAACAGATAATTTACAAACATATTCTAATAACGTGGCATTTATTTGTTACCAATATAATCACTTTTTTCTTACCAAATAAAATGATTGCAATGGGAACTTTTCAATCTCAATTCCTTTTACGTACAAACCTGGGTTAATAAAATAATATGAGTCGCGTCACGACAAAACCAACATAATGGGTTTGCGACCAGCATGGATCCAGACCAGCCTGCGCATCCGCGCAGTCTGATCAGGATCCATGCTGTTCGCTATCAGTTTTTCTACTTGTAATAGAGTTGGTAAGCGAACAGCATGGATCCTGATCAGACTGCGCGGATGCGCAGGCTGGTCTGGATCCATACTGGTCGCAAACGCATTACGTTGGTTTTGTCGTGACGCGGCTCAATTCTTTTGTTAAATGAACCTTATTTTTTCCATTTAGCTTACCTTCTATAAGGTAGATGCGTGTTTAATAATCTAGGTGATGGAATTTTGTTAATATCGTCTGCGGATGTCGCTTCTATCATTGAGAACATTTTACTTTCTGCTGGACCTTCTGGCTTCCCTTTCATCAGCATTGTTAGTATTTCGTAAGTCCATGTACAGCCTATAAAGAAAGAAATGAAACAACATTATTATCTATAGTATAAGCGAAGAAAATCAAAATGAGAGGAAAAAAAAGAGAATATTCAGTCCCTGTCATATATAAGTCTTAGCTTTGCAGCACGCCTCCAGATCCATGTTAATTTTCATGAAAATTTTGGAAATGTATTTAAATTATTGTTAGATGAACAAATAGAGTAGTTTACATATTGCAATCGGCACTTACAATCCACGAAAATTACCAAAAAAAAAAGTGGTCAACATACGCAAAAACAGCCCTTACTGCGTTAGTAACGCAGATAAAATACTGCAGCACATATGATAACATGTACAATACAACTTGGATCTTGAATGTTTTTACCTTTCTTAAAAGTTTAGTGCCTTTTTCTCAATATTGATTTTCTTGAAAAATGTTGGCTTATCTGGAGGCGTGCAGCTTTATATGAAAATAACGTCATCGGTGAAGTTGGAAATCTCATCCTAAAACTCAAGAACTCAATCTGACTTGCGTAAGGTATAGCTGGTTAGGCAAGATAATGTTTATTATTTCTTTTTTTTGCAGAAACTTTATTTGCTTACTTACCTGCTTTTGGATAAGAACATAGAAGAACATCGTCGTCTTTAAACTGGAAATCATTCAAATGTTTGTTCACATCGCGGATGTATTCGATTGTCCGGCCAAATAAAGAAGACCGGAAGTCGCCAAAGTCAATCATGGTCAATGTGTCTCCACCTTCATCCTTAACCTTAACTTCGGTCATATCTGCAAGCCTAGTCTACTGCCCTGAAATCCTGCTGCATAAAAAACTCATACATCTATAATGATATGAAGAGAATACTTTTGGTTCTCTGCAAAAGTTTACTAGGTGAGGCTCGACTTGTGAAGGTCGACTGATATTAAACAAAAGGTGAGGGTTTACTTAAATTTGCCAAAAATTGATGGTGGTATATTTACCAAAAGATCATGCCCGACTTATGTTAACAAAAATTTGAGGTCGACTTATATTTTCCAAACGGTGTCTATTTGTTAATAAACTCTGAAAATACAGTTGATAAATGGGTGGGCCCACCAATTAACGTTCTAATATAACGTATTAAACTCCTCAAGGCATACACGATTATATTAACCAAATGGCGATGCGACCTCTTTGTACTATACGCAGAGTATTAAAGGATTAGTATTAACTTATTTAACCAAAGAAGGTCACTGCACATTGTCAAATTGACTTCATATAATTCAGTAAATTTACGATAGCTGGTGTGCAATGAGGTAAACGTGTAATCCTTTAATTCAGTCAGGTTTGTCACGTGACAATATAATGTATGTAATGACATTGTATAAATAATGTTACCCATCTGATCTTTTATTAGTTTAAACTTTATTTATTCAATAAATTGTACATAAATGACATCTTTTATTAAAAGCGGTCTGGTATAATACATACTGCCTGAGTAACAGGTCTGTCCCTAAAGTAAAACTCTTGGAAAGAGGAGCACACCGTATTACCGGCGGCAGTGATGACAGATCACTGCAGTGATGGCAGATATCTTAAAATTACCGATCGATACAGGTAGGTTATAAATTTGGTTGGTTTAATTATATTACACAAATACGGCCCATTTCATTGCTATAAAACTATTGTCCATTGAATGGAGATACTGTAAGGTAATTTTGGACTCGTTTTTTCCTGTTTTAAGACTATTTTGAGCAGGTTAAAAGTGAAAGCCTTAGAAAAATCCGTGAAAATGTCTGTTTTCTGTTCAAAATATCTCAAGTTTTAAGTAAATGGCAGGATTTCCTGTTATCAATATAGACGATCATCCATTGGGGTCACGCAAGCCAAATATCTACCCCGTGAGTCTTTTCTTGAAAGTTTTACAGACGCTCAATCTTGTCCGGTCGAAGAAAAAATGTTGCCGTTGTAGGCAGATACATATTATAAATGCTGCCGTCGATGGCAGAAATACCATGAAAGTGGCTAACATTCTGACAGAAAATCAAGTTCAATCTTTTATCAATTCCTCTTTTCTTTGCGTCCTTTTAGTCGGAATTGAGACGTTAAACTATCATTTCTAATATTTTCTCAAGATAGAAAAGTTATTAACCCATTACCCCATGAGCATCTTGTGAAAAATGGCTGTTTTCATTGAAAGGTCTCCCGTTACAAGTTCAAGTTGCTATAAAACTATAAAAACTGCTTCAATACTAATCAAAACTTGGCACAAATGTTGACTGGACCATTGCCTTTGTAACAACATGTTCAGTCTGAAATTTCCTGTTACCATAGCAACTAGGGGACATCTCAAAATTGCCAAAAATCACTATTTTGCGTTGATTTTTTCCATCAAAATTGATTTCAAAGTGCTGCCACTTCTCAATGGATTGAGATAGAGTCAAAGGCTTTTCAGCATTGGTTACACGTTACCTTGTGATCGACCTGGGGTCATTTTTAGCCTCCCACAAGTCCAAAGTTTTCTTGGCGATGAGGGGGACTCAGCCCCCTTCAAACCCCCAAACAGAAGGGGCACATCCCCTTCTGGCAACCCCCTGATGTATCTTTTGGTTGGGGGTGGGGGCCGCGCCGAAAAAGTGGTCAATTTTTTAAACAACATTTATCAAACAAAAACAAGTGTTTGGGGGCCTAAATAAGGCATTTTTTCACCATTTGAGAAAGCAAAAAAGGAGGGGGGGGGGGTGTGAAACAGGCGTAGAAAGGCGTATATATCTGGTAATGGGTTAACAGAAAATGATGAAGAAAAAAAACGAAATTACCCAAAAACGCGTTTTTTCCATGTTAAAACATGGCCTCACATATAATTTTGAAGAAAATTGCTGTTTTGTAGATTTTTTGATTTTTTTTTCATTAATGCGGTATGTGCATCGAAAAAAGCTTATTAGCAACATGCAGTTACAATACAAAATGTTTTTGATTTAGTACCACAAAATTTCACTATAAATAGAGAAATGAACATGAAAAACTTCATTTTTCTATATTCATGCATGTGTGCTTGATCTGTTGTGTCTGTCAGTTACATGCATACAATACTATAATTATGTATCTTAAGTTTAGCAGCGCACTCCCTTTTTAAGACATAACGCCAATTGCATATTACAGCAAGTAACTTCTGTAAGTGGATATTCATTTGCTAGCATATGACATTATTTTCTCGAGGTAATAATGTTCATCGCTTTATGACAAATAAAGGCTGAAATTTACTTAATCGGCGCAGATTATAAATTATTAAATTGATGTAATAAAGGGGAGACTATTAACCTCGCAACTGGTATCAGTGTTAATGTAAAATGGAAAGATAATATTATTGACAGTTCAAATATTTTCCTATATTATCAAGTTCTTGAAAAACACGACAACGTGGATTCATTTCTTTAAATGTTCATGTTTGTAATAGCGTTGTAGTTTGCCTTTGAATTACATTTACTATGCTAAACTATTAACAACAGTTCTAACATCACGTGCTCCCATTTAACTATGTATTTTTTCATTCATTTTAGTTGTAACCATGACAATTTATAAAGATGAACCTTTCGATGATTCATATCACAAGATGAAAATAAATCCTGTATTTATAGGAAAAAAAACTAGAATTTTTTTATTTGTTATATTCTTTTTCTCTTTTTTGACCTTTCAATTCATATGAACAGATCAAGCACACATGCATGAACATAGAAAATGAAGTTTTTCATGTTCATTTCTCTATTTATAGTGAAATTTTGTCGTACTAAATCATCACTTTTTGTATTGTAACTGCATGTTGCTAAAAAGCTTTTTTCGATGCACACACCGCATTAATAACTTTTCTATCTTGAGAAAATATTAGAAATGATAGTTTAACGTCTCAATTCCGACTAAAAGGACGCAAAGAAAAGAGGAATTGATAAAAGATTGAACTTGATTTTCTGTCAGAATGTTAGCCACTTTCGTGGTATTTCTGCCATCGACGGCAGCATTTATAATATGTATCTGCCTACAACGGCAGCATTTTTTCTTCGACCGGACAAGATTGAGCGTCTGTAAAACTTTCAAGAAAAGACTCACGGGGTAGATATTTGGCTTGCGTGACCCCAATGGATGAACGTCTATATTGATAACAGGAAATCCTGCCATTTACTTAAAACTTGAGATATTTTGAACAGAAAACAGACATTTTCAAGGATTTTTTCCAAGGCTTTCACTTTTAACCTGCTCAAAATAGTCTTAAAACAGGAAAAAACGAGTCCAAAATTACCTTACAGTATCTCCATTCAATGGACAATAGTTTTATAGCAATGATATGGGCCGTATTTGTGTAATATAATTAAACCAACCAAATTTATAACCTACCTGTACCGATCGGTAATTTTCAGATATCTGCCATCACTGCAGTGATCTGCCATCACTGCCGCCGGTAATACGGTGTGAGGAGAGCCCTCTGAATAATGGTGTCAAAAAATTCTCGTTTTCATTTATAAGAAACATTAGTGTCCAACTTTATTTGTCATCCAATGAAAACGCTACATTTCTTAAAAATTATGTGCGTTAATTTTCATAGAAGTACAAAAGTCGATACTATATCGAATTACGTCCATAGTCGACTTCTATTTTTCATAGTACTTCATAAAACCGCATAGTGACGTAATAAAGTGAATGATAATGAGGCCAAATAAAGTTTGACACTAAATATGTTAGTATTCATCCGTGCTGTTCTACAGAAATTAGAAACATTCTCCTGTCGCTATCGCTCCCGTCGAAGTTTCTAATTTCTGTAGAACAGCACGGATGAACACTAACATATACTTATTTACCGCATCAATTAAAGTTCCATATATTACGTCCCCCAAAAAATGCTTTTTTCTCATTAACATTTTAAACACGTTTATATTGATTTTAAGGCATATATAATGCACCTTGTTAATTATCTTTGTATCTACTTTTACTTCTTTATATGAACTTTGAATGTGTGTAAATTAACTCAGTCGAAACGCTGGGTGATGAACCATATATTACAAAACAGGATGTCTATAATGAAAAAATGAGTGTATGAATGAATGCAATGAATATCACTGGTCGACATGTAGATATACTACGCTCAATCTCGAGTAACATATTTAACTCACAGAAATTTATTGAAATCTATGAAAATCTTATTGAATATGTCTAATTTGATTAAAAGAATGAACAAACTATGCGTGACAAGCTTCGTTCCCTATTATGGGACATGTTAAATTTGTCCTTTCTTACAAAAATAGCCAGTTTTAAATGGCCTTACAGTATATTTATCTTGTAACTACCTATAGTGTGTAGAATTTTAAACATAACGAATCTTCTATATGTTTATTTTTAATAAAGAGACTGTGTAGCAATTATCATTTATTTCTAATATCAAATTCGATCATAGTATATCTTTAAACAGTAATTATTTCAATAAACATTCTACATGATATGTCAGCTGACCGAGACAGTCATGTCCTCTTTTAAAGACAGCGCGCAACAATATGTTTTATTATGCTGAATCATCATATCCTATACAATATTTACAAGGTAGCCTCCCTTTTTGTTTAATCCTAAAAAAAACAAAGTAATTAGCCACGTTCGAAAAAGTAGTGCTAAAGTGTATTAATTTGTGATCAATTAATTCAATAACACAAACTCACCTGCTATAGCCTAATGTAGATAAATAATCCGGTAAATCATGCAAAATCTTTAATAAGTTATACCGATGTAAAATCTTTATGCACTTCCAGTTTTTTATAAGGGAGATAACCCCATGAAAAACTACATTTTGAACTCTAGTTTAACAACATAAATTTATATTGACCATTAGTTGTGTGGACCGTAGATAACACGTTTATATGTATTTATCTTACATATCAATATAAAGTTCAGCTTAAAACCAGCAGTGTATACAAGATTGGCTATTTTACCATTTGTTAACATAGTAAATAATGAATAAATTAACAATCTTATTCGGCGAGGTGTGTTAACTTTTAGCTTAAGTAATTAAAAATTGTGTTGGCCTTATAATATTGGTATACCGTATGGTAACGTTACTCATGCTTATTGTGACAGCCATTTACAATAGATTTTTAACGGTATTGTATAAAAAAAACTGAAGAAAGTTAACAAAAGATCGAAATATATTAAAACAAGAGCTGCCACAGGAGACAGCGAAGCTCGACTAATGAAATACTGGACGCAGTAAGGAGGACAAAACTATGAAAGGAAAATCAATTATGTATAATTATGTATTAAGTTATAGTAAAAAAATAATATTTGTTAACATAAATTCCAAGATCAAGGGGAATAATGCTAGAAATAGTCATGCTAGAGTTATGGACCTTGTCACACAACATTTGTGTAATGATAAGAAACATATATTTGAAGTTTGAAGCAGATACCTTAAAAAGAAAAGAAGCTATTATATTTCTTAAAGAAAATCCTAAGTTCAAAGAGAGATAAATCTGTAAATATTGCATCAAGAATTATGAACAATGTCACATAAAATGTAATTGTTGATAAGGAATAAGTATTTGAAATTTGAGGTAGATACCTTTAAAAATAAAAAAGTTATAATAAAAAATAACATTTTTCTAGTAAAAAAATCTAAGTTTATGGGGAGATAATTCTTGTAATATTGGTGCTAGAGTTATGAACCTTGTCACATAAGATGTGGATGATGATAACGTAAACATATTTGAAGTATGAAGTTGATCCCTTTAGAAATAAATAAATAACAGTAAAAAAAATATTTTTTATGGAAAATTCTAAGTTCAAAGGGAGATAAATCTGAAATATTGGTGCTAGAGTTATGAACCTTGTCACATAAGATGGGGATGATGATAACGTAAATACATTTGAAGTATGAGGTTGATCCCTTAAGAAATAAAGAAGAAACAGTTAGAAATAGTACTTTTTGAGGAAAAATTCTAAGTTCAAGGGGAGATAAATCTGAAACTATTGGTGCTAGAGTTATGAACCTTGTCACATAAGATGGTGGGATGATGATAAGGTACATATATTTGAAGTATGAGGTTGATCCCTTAAGAAATAAGGAAGTAACAGTAAAAAATAGTATTTTTTAAGGAAAATTCTAAGTTTCAAGGGGAGATAAATCTGAAAATATTGGTGCTAGAGGTTATGAAACCTTGTCACATATGATGTGGTTGATGATAAGGAAGATATATTTGAAGTTTGAAGTTGATACCTTAAGAAATGACAAAGTAATAGTGAAAAATATTTTACTGCACCAAAACTTTAATCTAAAGTCTGGACGCGGACGCGGACGCCGGGGCCGGGGCGAGTAGGACAGCTCTCCATATACTTCGTATAGTCGAGCTAAAAACTACATAATTTATTTACAAACTGTTTTTAGACACCAAAAGAACATATTTACCTGTTGACATTATTTTGGATTTGATTGCATTTATGCGTGCGTGTGTAAAGTGTGTGCGTATGTACAATGTATGTGTGTATTTTAACACTTTTCGATCATAACATCACCAAATTGATTATTTTTCGGCAGATGTCAAATTAATGCAATCGTTTCCACTAATGTCACGTGGTAGAAATATTTTTCAATCCGTAGTAACTCCGAGATGATTATGAATAACCGACGCTAAGTTAATTATAGCTCGTTAACTAAAAGAATTCCACTGCGGCCCAAAACCTTAAAACATAAAATTTGAATTTCTTACAAAATATAGTATGTAGTAATATAGAAATATATACTCGTCTTGAAAATCATATTTTTTGTATTGTGCATGATCCGACTTGAGTCAAATTGACCGGTTTTTTTTGTTCTTTTTTTTGTTCTTTTTTTTCAGAACATTGCAATATTGTTATTTTATTTATCATCATGGACGCTATATTTAGATTTTCCTACTCTTCAAAATAATTATGGATATACGGTTTCTAATATGTTCCAAACACAATTTTTACTTTGAATAGTTAATCACTTAGTTTAATTTATACGAATATATTTTAGTTTGATTGTGTTTGAAGCTATAATCTTATTGAATATCACTCTGTTACTCGAATATGTTCCTGGAACCAACCAAATACTAAGCAATTAATGAGTGTAAAGTTTCTTGCTCAAGGAAACAACAGCTTGCCCCTAACGGGCTCTGAACCAATGCGGCCAGCAATCCTTAGATTACTAATCCGACGCGTTAACCACTCGGCCAGACTGTTAAATATTTCGGATTCTGGTTTAGTTGAGTGGCCGAAGGTTTTGCTTCATCTATTTAAAAAAAACATGATGGAAGTTTTTTTGTTAAACGTTCCTCGTTGTGAAACTGGAAGCAAATATGCTATGGTAAGAAGACAGTTGTATGGCAAGATGCCATGTATTTCCACATTGTTCGGAAGCTCATCTAAAATTACAAAATTCTACGGTATCAACGAGTCAATATGATGATTAAAATGCTGGCTGTGTCCGTTAGTTGATTGGATGAAACCATAACGGTGCTGCTTCACCAGTGATTAAATGACATCATATTAAAACACACAAGTTTTTTTACTAGGTTTCAGACAAGTATGGTTTATTGTTGATATTGTTATTGATACTGTATGTTTTGTCAATGAAGGTTTCCAATTGAACTTTCTCTATCCAATCTAGCACTCTTAGGGATTTAGAAAAAAAAACTTTCCCCGCAGACATCAATACAAGGAAATTTCCGGGATAGGACAATAAGGTTTCCTCCATGTTTGACAAGTTTTACGAGTACATGTATATATTATATTAAACTGCCTTGTGTATTTTCATTCGTGCGAGCCTTCATGGGAACACACCCAAACAAAAAAATACATCAACAAATTATATCAAAATTGTGAATAAATCTGGAATAAATCATGTTTTCCTGATTTGTTAATACAATTTGTTCATGATTCATTAAATGAATCATAAATAAATTGTGCTTTTACTGGAAAGAAAAGACCCCATTTATTATAGATTCATTACAAAAGACAGATTTATTAACCATTGATTACAAACATAAGATATATTCAATACAATTTATTGTAAACTCATTACACTTGAACTGGAATGTATACAATTTATTCATGATTTATTGAAAATAGAACTTTTCCCGACTGTATTTAATACCATTTATTACAAATTCAATACACTTTAAAGTTCTGAGATATTCACAAGTTGTTCATGAATCATGATTCATTAAAATCAGAGATTTTCCAGGATTTATTCAATACAATTCATAACATATTCATTGTACTTCAGATGTTCATAATTTGCTTAATTATAACAGAAATTTTCATTGATGTAGGTCCTTTTGTTTTACTGTTCATTACAACTAAACCCCTCTCAACTATACAAATACATATTTTTTTAATTTCCCTTAACTCATTACCGTACTTGTTTTTTAATCAGTCACTGGAAAATATATATGGGTTTTTCAAGTCTCTTAGTTTAAGCATCACCATATTATTAATTCCATGCTCAGCGCAAAACGTAAAAAAAGGGTCAATTATACAAACTCGTTTTACTGTTAAATATGTTTAACTAATTTGCATGTAGATTTTATTTTTGAGTGATCAAGATCAGTTTTTGTCTTTCTTATTGTTAATACGCAATCTGATCCATACCCACGGCTTTTTATGATTAGATCTATCATTATCAGTAAAAAAACTGTCAAATAGATTAACGTATGCGTAAAAAGGTAAAATGTCGTAAAAAAGCGACTTAATTCTCTCGGACTTAACATCTGTTGTTAGTTTATTGTTTTGAACAGCATGGCTCCCAGCCGCGCGATTAAACGATAAGATCTTGCAGGGAACTGCAGCCTACCGAGCGCCCCCTATCAGCCGACAACAGAACAAGATTAATAGGAAACGAAATTTTTTTGCCATTTCAGAAAAAAGATATCTTACCATACAAACAATTTTCTTTCTTTTGGATATAACTAATGTCAGAAACAAACTAACTTACAACAGATTTTGTCATTGCAGCTGCAAAATTAGGAACTTTATACAATAATTTAGTAGCTAGGAATAACATTTCGTTTGCATTAATTCTATGCATAGGAAAAAGGCGGTTATTTTGGAAGATGAAAACTTGTGGTGTTACACAAAAATATGGATAAAAAACAATATCAAGGCATCTAGACTACTGATAGATGGTATACTGATAGACGGTAAGTTCAAAATTTTCTTTTCGTTCTACATAGCGTTTTTAATAACCTTCTATAGATCTAGATCATATGTAAGTTGGCAATAAATAAAATTTACTGGAATAATGTGCAGATTAGGATAACGATTGATTCGCCCCATAACGACTCGCCCCATTTTAGTGACGATTCGTCCCCCCTAATGGCACCACCTTAAATTAAACATTTTTTTATTCATTTGATTTGGATTGAAAAATATTTATGATACAAGATACAAGTTTTAAAATATGCACGCATGTACATGCATTGTTTATGAGGAAATCTATGTACAGCCATTTTAAAAACATAAATCTGCATTGTTTCACACTGAGCTCATCCGCACATTTGAATGCGATGAAAAATGATGTTCTTTTTTATTTTAAGTGACTTCAGAAGACTATTTTTCTTTTACTTAGTTATCTCGCAGAAAACTGAAAAAGAGCAGCAAAGAAAGGACAGAACGTAAAAATCAGCAACTCTGATGAGATGGTAAAAAGCAGATGAACGGGAGATAATAAAAATGCAGATTGACGGCTTCTTTGATCGTGAAGAGTTTGCTATTAGTTATGGGACAAGGGCATTCCAAGGAAATGACATATATGAGTCTTTGAAGCGTAAGTATAGGGCTACATATATATTAATCATTTTAAAAACGACAATGTGCTTTTTTAAATATTAAGTACTAGTAAATGATAAAAAAATAATACTTTTCAATCTGAATTTTGTTCATGTACATATAGTAATTCAATGTCATAGCCTTTTCAATTTTGTTTTAAATTTAATTGAAGCAAATGGTAAAAAACTGGACTTGCTACAAAATATTTGTTCATTCCTCTGTTGAAAATGAAATCGAACATTCACCCGTTTGTTTTATGAACAAATATTTATCTATCATCAGACTTTGTGAAATATACTGCTGGTATTTATTCAATAGAACATGTACAGTCAAAAGTGGTTGAGTCCTTTAGTGTATTTGGCTCGAGTTGAAATTCAAATTCAGATTGTATTGCAAATAGAACAAAAATATATCATACTTTTTTCAGAGTGATATGTCAGAAGTCTTAAGTTTAAATTTTGATATTTTTATTATAAATATGATACTTTTTATGAGACTTTTATTTTCTATTTCAGAGTATGCCATTCATTGCCTCAGTATAGAGATTCAACATTTAATGATTATAGGAATAAAAAAGGTGTAGCTCCAGACAGACACTGAAAAGGAAGGCAAAGATGTTTTCAGACTGACATAAAGCCCTAGTTTCTAAACTAGAAAATATATTCCTAACAGCAAGCACGATATTTCCAGAATTATTCCCTTTACTTTTTTACCTGACTTACCTGTTTTATTTGCAGGGATATTTATGAAATGAGCTATGCACGTACATTATGAGTTTTTCAATGTTATTGATGTGGTGGCATAGATTTTTTCACAAATTTTGATCTTGTTGTATGTTCTTGATTAATCTAGTCAGCTTTTGTTTGTAAAAAATAAAAGAAAAATAAATAAAATTTATCAAGATATGTTATTATTATTATTATCATCATATTTTTCTCCGGAATGGACACCATCATTGGAACCTGCTTTTATTCAATATCCACTAGATGAGCCTGATTTGTTAATGATTCATTAATACATTGAATTTGGGTTTATGGATAAAGAAAAAATACAATTTATTAGTGATTCATTAACAATTTATTTGCAATTCATTAATGAATCAGTTGGTCAGCGAACCTAATTTATTACCAATTGATTAACCTGATTTGTTGATAATTCATTGACTAAGTCAAGAAAAGGACCAAATTCATTACCCATTTGTTAACCTGATTTTATTAACAATTTATAATAAGTTGGTAAATGGACCCAATTCATTACCAATTCATTTCACTGATTTATTAACAAATTTATTCATAATGCATTGGCTCATTTGCATGTCATTTCCATCTATAATAAATTGGGGAATAAATGGTAAATTTGTTTATCATTTATTATACTGATTCATTCCTATCTTTTTTTTGTTTGGGTGCATAATTAACAGAATTTAAGTGTCTTATTTTCATTATTTTATTATCATATTTTATAAAAGTGTAGCCACATTTCAAACATAATCCACTTTTATTCAGAATGTATTCAAGTCTTTTAATATATAAACAATATTAACATGAAAAGAAAAATGTTGATCTTACGGTTATCAATAATATGTTGTTAATAATGTTTTCCCTTAAAACACCAGTTCCTAACAATAACTTGTATATTCTATTTGAAAAAATAAGCGAAACAACATCTGGTGTGGTGAGATTCAATTTTACAGCATCATTTTTTTTTACATCATTTTATGACTTTGACCTATACTGCGTTGGCATAGTAACCATCCAGGTTCCATTTCTGAAAAAAAAGTTCAGTTTTGAATACACCACTAGAACAAACATTTACTCAACAATACTCAAAGTAATCTACAGTGAATCTGAATTAATTAGAACTACAGATCAAAATTTTTTACAAGAAAATAAATAAGTTGACAAAGATACATTATTAGAATTATCACAGAATAGTTTAACAAGTTTTTTATCGATGGTTCATGATACTAAGTTCCTCTTGCTCTCTTTTGTCTGACATTGCCACAGTCAACTTGGCCAGGAATTGACTAAACTGGTTTCTTCACGGCTTCACTGTCTTCTTCAATGTTTGTATGTAACCACAGGAATGTTGCTAAAACATGTTGCTGGAAAATAAAACAACAACAAGATTTGTTAAATGTTTAATTTATGGTATTTGGGTTGAAAGGCTTTCAGATGAAGCGGAAAATTTAGACTAAGCTGTAAAAATTTTCAGATTTTTGTGAAAAAAACTCGATTCGGGGTTTTAATTTACATTTAGTCTTTTAAACCCTTTGTAAAAAATGTATGGAAATTTTACACGAAACGAAAAACTTCAGCTAAAAATTATTTCTAAGAATTTTAAATTTTTTACTATTATTTTTCCCAAAAAAAACGTCAATTTTTAAAAACCTTTTGAGAAATTTGGACAAAAATGGTTCTATTTTGGGGCTTATTACTATAATTTTAGGTAAAAATTTTACTTTACTTTTTAAACCCTATAAAAAATTAAATTTTTTAAACAATTATTGTTCTAGAAAGTGCACAAAAGTACTCCAAATTTTTTCCAAATTTTAAAGGGGGTTGTACCATTAAAATCTTTAAACCCAGGGTTTTAAAAAAAACCATAAAAAAACAGATACGTTTCTTGGGATTTAAAAAAAATTATCAGGTAGATTCTAGGTCAACTTAATGTATTGCTCGATGCTCAAACAATCACCTAAAACTTATAAACAATTTACTAAAATTGAAATCAATCATGATATCAAAATACTAAATTTAAATATAATCATCCACAAATGCAACTACCTACAAAAATAAATATAACATAAGGTTTCTATAATGCACACATACCGACAAAATACATATAATATTCAGTTTAATACAAATATTGCATTCTAAAACAAAGGTATGTTATAATGCAAAGGACATATGCATTTGAAAAAATAAACAAATAATGCACACAAACTATGATTTCTGACAAAAAAAGCAATTATAAATTTGCTTTTGGTAAAAAAACACTCAATTAAATCATCATTTCTGATGAAAGTTCATATTTTCATAAGAAATAGCTTCCTAAATAAATTACCATTACTATCACAGCCTTGACTGCCACAAATTTCAATTTTTAATTACTTTCCACAAAATAATATATTAAATGTAATAGATTCTGCAAAAATTGAAAATGTTAAAGCGCCATGCCTCCAGAATTATACTTATTTAATGAAAATTTTATAAATGTGTTTAAAAGTATTGTGATGTTGGGGAGTAGACAAAGAAAGGAATTTACATATTGCAAACAACACTTATGCCATGCCCAATCCACATGGGGAATGACCAAAACAGGGTTAAGATTAAACAAAAATGTGCAAAAATTAGCCCTTACTGTTATATGGTGATTTAAAAAAAAATACAGCAAAATCAGTCATTAAATGTTTTTACTTACATGTATCTTAAAATCCTATTTGTCAATGTTCTGCAATTTTATGAGAGTGCCTACTCTCACATATATAAGTGTCAATTTTCAATAGGGTACATACAGACTGAAACATTCATGTTTCTTTAAAAAACATCCTATTTGTACTTGTACAAAAGACAAAATTTTCATAAGTTTTTCATTGGGGGTAATAGCCTAAGAAGCAAAACTAAGAAATAAAAACAACACTAGGAGACATTTTTCTTACAGTAGCCGGGCTGCGTGCATTTCACTCTAACATGCAATGTGAAATTTTAAAATCTGTTCTTTCATTTTAAATACTAAACATGTTTTGGGGGGAAAATAAATTAAAAACTGTACAAATTAGTAAAATTTTGCAAAAAGAGAAATAACAAAAAAATTTTTCTTTGGGGTTTGAAAAAAAATAAATAATTTTTTTAATGTTAAAAAATTTATCTATATCCAAATTCTTTATGAAAAAGTTTACTTTGTATTATCTTTTCTGTAAAAAAAAATGATCTTTTGGTGTTATAAATAAGTATTGCTTGCTATTAGCAGTGTTGAAAGTTCAGCATTTTTTTCATTTGCAAAGACACTCTCAATATAAGAATCGATGCCTGGTTCAATTTTCTCTTATTTAAAATATCTTAAAATAGCAATTTTCCTGAGTTTAAAAAAAAAAAAACTTCCAAGTAAAATCAATAAAAGTATTTTTTTTATATAATTTGTTATGTAAATGAAAAGATTTATAAAAAAAATATAATATCTGACCAAACTGTACGCGCTAATAAAAAATATATAAGTAATCACTATACTTTTTGGCATCAATAATGTCTTCACAAAAAATTCAATGCCCCCTCAGTTTCAGATTGTGACTGTGTTGTGTTGTTTCAATTTCAATATTTTTATTCTTAAAAAACATTAAACCAGACTATGCGCAGTTCCAAATTCAAAGCAGGGTAAAAAATCCACACAGAAAATTTCAACAGGGTGAAGTTACAATAATATCCTATTAGGTGTTAAAATTAAAAAAGGGAAAAGTAAAAGGGATATAAAAAATATGAAGATGTTTAAAAAAATTCTAAAAACATCAAAAGTAAAAGAAAATTTAAATTGTAACACGAAGGGCCTGATGGCCTTTGAAATTTCGCTCACCTGTAAAAAGGGGCCCCGGGAAAGGGGGCGGGGTTTAAAAAACCCAAAGGGCTTTTATTTGAAAAAAACTTGGTAAAAACCAAAATTGGGAAGATGTTTCATGCAAAAAATTTCAAGGTCCAGCTTGAAAAATTTTGAAAAGGGTTTTTTTCAAAGAAGCCCTTTTTCACACATTTTTAAGTTAAAAACAATGCCCACCCTGGGCAGGGGGGCCTTTTTTGACCCCCATTGCTTTTAAATTTGAAAAAATTTGTAGAACTCTCAAAAGAAGATCCCTTTTGGGGTTTAAAATATCTAGAACTCTTAAGCTAAGTATTTGAGTTTTTTCAAAGAAGTTTTTTTTAAAAAAATTAAAGTTTTTGTTATAAACCTATACGAAAATTATTACCCCCGGGCAGGGCCAATTTTGACGCCCAGGGCTTTATTTGAAAAACTTGGGGATATCCATAGAAATATTTTTTCATGCTAAATATTCCGTTAGCTCTAGCTCTTTGGATTCTTTAAGGGGAAAAGATTTTTTAAGTTTTTACTTAATTATGGTTTGTATGGGGAAAAATCAATGCCTGGGGCGGGGCAATTTTGACCCACGGGGCTTTTAATTTGAACAAACTTGGTAGACACCCCTATTAGAAGATGTTTCATGCTAAATATCTTGCTCTGGGCTCTTTGGGTTCTTTAAAAAAGAAGTTTTTTTAAAAAGGTTTTTAAACTTTGAAAAAATTGGGAAAATCAAGAAAAAACCCTGGGGGGGCCCAAATTTTTAAACCGGGGGTTTTATTTTGAAAATTTGTAGACATCCTAGAAGATGTTTCACCCCAAATTCTTAGTTAGTTGGGTTTTTTTAGAAAAAGGGTATTTTAATGTTTTCTTTTTGGTTGCCTTGGAAAACCAGGTTCTGCAAATTAAAATTTAAAATTCTTTGAAAAATTTTAAAAAAAGGGACCCCCAAAGGGAAAAATTCCGGGTTAAAGTTTGGAATGAAATTGGTTTGAGTTTATGGGGAAAATGCTTTTTAAAGAAAAAATTTTTAACTTTTTGGGACGGACACCCGGGACGACGACGCGGGACGAA